GTTTCGAATGTAATATATTAATAAACATGTGGTTGTCTAACATAGGATTTTAATGTATGCATATTCTCGTTAAGATGGAGGATACCTCTTTCCCAAGTGGAGGGAATGCCATTGGTGTGAACTCGGCCTCATCTAAAACAGATACGGGTCGTGGAAATGGACCCCTTCCTTTAGGGGGTAGTGGCTTGATGGAAGAAATGAGTGCCCTGCTGGCCAGGAGGTGAGAAATTTCTTTATGGTGAACATGTCCAGATTGAGAAGATTTTGTTAATTTTATTTATTCCAGATATAACAACGAGATGCAATTCTTCCCTCTTAGAGAAAGAGTAGTTTTTATACCAAGAGTTAGATGATATTTTTAAAAATCGATTTGCCTTCTTTGTAGGAGAAGAATTGCTGAAAAGGGATCAACAATAGAAACAGAACAAAAAGAGGACAAAAGTGTAAGTGAATAAAGACAGTCTCCTGTACCTTACAACATGGAATTCAGGCATAGCTTAGTCAGGAAATTGTGTCAAAAGATTGTTTAATTTGAACTATTTGCTTATTTTTTTTAACTATTCACATTTTAAAAGTGTCTTGTTTTGAATGTTATTTATGAATTTTTAATGGCATTCTTAGCATAATGAATTGTGTGGAATTGTAGGAAAAGCACTGATGTTCAAACCTGCAGTTTAATTCTTTTCCTAAGCCTACGTTTAAATGATGAAAGACCTTTTACTAGGTTTTTTCATTTCTTAGGATCTCGGTTTCCTTCCATTATTTTAAAATGAAGGAATTAGACTAAATGAATAGTTTTCATACATTTCCTCTAGAAGCTCTGTTGTTATTAGCAGTGCCTCTTAAGAATGTGTAACATTCATCCCCCCTCCCCAATTCAGCTGGGCAAACTCTGCTTTATCTGATATTGGTGTTTAACAAATAATGTAATTGTTTTCCCCTGCAACATCTGGCCTTCCTTGATGCCATTCCTCTGTCCCTCTCTTATCTCCTGCTTGGTAGCATTGGCAAGTGCAAGTTCTAGTTGAGGTGGAACACATGAGGAAAGGAGCTGTGGGAAAGGCTGAAGGGGAAATGTTAGGGAGGTAAGAGAAAGAAGAAATCTAAGCCAAAATGGAAGGGGGAAAAGATGGATGAAGGAAAAAGTGGGGAGTGGCAGAAAGAATGTTGGAAATGGAAGTCTAAAGCACTAAATGTATACAGCAACAGGTTTCTAATAGGTGTGATATTAATATATGTTTCTGTGCATTTAGGAAGATTCAGAGCCTGTAACTTCTAAGGCCTCTTCAATAAGTACACCTGGTAAGTTCAAGAGAAATATTTTAACCTTCGTAAACTTTCTCTAAGTATTAATACTCCCCAATTAAAAATCCCCCCCTTGCCCATGTTTGGACCAAGTGACTGATGAATCACTAAAATGCTAAAGTTATTTGTTCACACTTGGAAGCATTGATTTCCCCCTCTGCCTTTTGTGATCCCAGAAGCTGCTGCTATTTCTTCCTGATATTGAGAGACCTGTTACAATGCAAAGGTTTTTTTCTCATGACTCTCTTTGAAAACCATATTTTTACACATTTTATGTGTCTTGCTAATAATTTGAGGTTATTCACTAAAACAAGAAAAATACATTATTAGGCCAGGCATGGTGGGTCATACCTGTAATCCCAGTACTTTGGAAGGCCAAGGCAGGGGATGATTTAAGGTCAGGAGTTCAAGACCAGCCTGGGCAACATAGCAAGATCCCATCTCTAAAAAAAAAAAAAATTATCTGGGCATGATGGCATGCACCTGTAGTCCTGGCTACTTGAAAGGCTGAGACAAGAGGATTGCTTTAGCCCAGGCATTTGAGGTTATAGGGAGCTACAGTTATACCACTGTACTCCAGCCTGAGTAACAGAGTGTGATGCTGTCTCTAAAATGAATGGAAAGTATTTTTAATAGTTCATTCTTAAGGGTAAAAACTAAGTGAGTATGATAGCTAGCACTAAATTTCAGAACATTCTCAAGTTGACAATATTGTCATTTTAACTATTCATTTGGGTGATAGTGATAATCAAGGAAATAAAGCTTCTAATTATAAGCTAAAAAATTCTCCTTAAAACTTTTGGGAATTGTTCTTGAATTCAGTGAAATTTCTGGCATTGAAAATTCTTGGGCATAGAATTTGTTACTCATACACATATAAAATACGTTTCACTGTAGGTACTTAATGAGTACTATATCCAAGATGAGAATATGAGATCATTACACAGTCACATGTTATTTCTTCATTTTGACTAAAGACTAAGGGTTGGACTATTTTTTACCTCCTTATCTATTTTGGAATGAAGTAACATAAATAAATTTGATGAATTAGTATCTGAAAGTGGTCCATAGGAAACCATTATAGAGAAATGTTAATAGTAATTCCTACATATTTTGATTTAGAGATTATCAGCTGTATCTAATATTCTTTTTTTAATAAAAAAACATACTTTTTGTTTTTTGTGATTGTAAGCTATTCCCCCCTGAAAAAAATTCCTCCTTTTTATTATTGAATAGTGACTACTCAATAGTCTAATTGCTATATTATAATTAACATTATGACATTGTGTACTTCTTTAGCCTACCTTGTTTTTCCTCTGAATAGGACATCATTTTATGTTATCTTCATGAAAAATTCACTAATTTGTGACTCAATTATTTTTTTATCCTTTATCTTCCTCCTTATAAGTCAAAATTAATTATATATGCTGTCATTAAGACCATAAATATTTTAAAACTGGACCATACTTTGGGGTCATAGAACCTTTAGAATATTATAAGAGCTATAGATCTTCTCTCCATGGGGAAGAATCATATTTTTATACAAATTTGTCCAAAATTTTAAGATGTTTATGAATTCCCTGAAGGATATCCATGGTCCCCAAGAATACCTTATCTAATCTACATCACCTTATTTAAAATATGAAAAACTAAAGCACAAGTTTTATGTGTGCCTGCATGTGTGTGCCATGCAATCCTTGATATAAAATCAGGGATTTATTCAGAAGGGCTGGAGGCTTCTTTTTTCACTTGTTTCGTTCAATTTTTTTTAATTGGCCTTGAAGGGCCAAAAAGAAATGAGAGATAAAGATCCTAAGCACAAAAGCTCATGGTCCAGCTGAGACACACAGGAGTGAAAGTTAATCTCTTACAACCGTGTGTTGAATTACTAAGTACTGTGTCAAAGAGGGAGATCAGATATAGAATCACCTGGGTCGTCTTTGTGGAAAAAAGTGACATTTTACTATGCCTCGGAGAGTATTTAGTTGGCTGAAAGTGAGGCAAGGCATGCTATTTCAGCAAGTAAGAACAGCATGAGCAAAGGGACGGATTTAGAGAAGAGGCTAGGAAATAGTAAGTAGACTCCCTGGCTAGAGTGGAGAATTCTTTTTGAGGAATATTACCAGGAAAGATTGGAAAAGTGAGTGAGAAACAAAAAAAATGTCGAGAGCCTTTATGAATGGTCAGGAGTTTAGACTTAACCCTGTACGTGTTAAGTGGACATTGAGTCCACTGAAACTGTCATAGGCACATTAAAATGGCAGTTGAGCAGTGTGCCGTGGAAATCAGAGAGGACTGAGAGCGGGAGGCCAGTTGCGGAGCTCCACACTGGTGCCAGAAAAGACCCTCTGAAGGGAACCCAGCCCCTGCCCTTCCCCTGAAACCCATTGGCGCCCTTAGAGAGAGGAGCTCTTACTGTCTCTGCTCCCACAGAGCCAAATCGAACAGCTCTTCCTGACAACCGGATGAGCCCTTTTGAGATCAAAAGATGATTCTGGTTTGGCTTATTGGAAAAGGACCTCTCAGCCAGTTGTGACAAGGTAGCACTCACTGCTACCTCGTTATCTACTTCCTACTGTGTTATCTACTTCGGGAGTACTGCCTCATCCTTCCACCTGCCTCCTGGGTGACAGCGTCCTGATGACTGTTTCCGTCCCTGCCCAGTTGTGCCTGTTTCATTCAGGACTTTCCTTTTTTTGCCTGCTCAGGCTGGTGTCTGTCAGATATGTTTCTGAATCTGTCTATCCCGAACCCAGGGAACATTTGATGTCCTCTGGCCGACTCCAGAACTTGCCACCACTGTGGCAGTCATTGAGAGAATATGTTAGTTGTTAGAGTAAAAAAGAAGGCATAAAAAAAGTAATGAAAAAGGAAGGAATTGATTGATTGAGGAGTAAAGCAAGATCAGTGGTGACTTAAGGTTTCACACCTAGATGCCAGCATGCCACAGAAATTCAGAACCAAAAGCAGTGTCTCCAGGGAGAACTGGAGTTTAGTTTTGCATTTGTTTAGTTCGAAGAGACTATAAGCTACACGTGAGAATGTACAGAGACCAACTGAGGGGCTGTGTGGGAACTCAGAGCAGTTTCTTCGTTAAAACCGTAAAGTGAGATCACAAGTCATAAAGAGACTTGATTCTCATGTGGCTCAAATGCTTTCCTCCATGACAAGGTTCCACTTCTGATTTTACCCTGTCATCAAGTGAGGCCAGGACTGCATCAGTGAGTCAGCCCAAGTTAGAAAAACAATTCGAGCACAATAGAAGGCCAGTGAGTCACTACATAGTAATAAGAGCTTAGAGTGAACTTCTTTATATTTAACTGAAATTGTCTGCCAAATCCTAAGAATTTGTTGTCTAAGAATCAAGGAACTACAATGGAATTCCATGATTCTGAAATTTATTTTGTTTCAATTTTTTTTTCCAAGAGGACTATTTGGATTTAGATGAAATGTTGAAGTACATGAACACATTACAAATTATATTTTTTGTTTTATCGTTAGCACTAAAAGTAAGTAAAAATTGTATGGGTAATACTGTCCTAATTAATTGAAACTATGCTAATTAATTAAAATTATCCTATCCTTATTCTGTCTTTATTAGGGAAACTTCTTACCATCTGGTATATAGAATTATAATATTTTAGATTTAACAATCTGAGTTTTTCCTAGGAAATTTATCATACTTCCTTATTAACTTTTTCTCATTTTAAGGTCTGAAATTGTACACATTAGCATCCTTTCAGATTTTAATGTTTAAAATTACATTTAAACATTTTTATTTATCTACTTCGCTAACATAAACAGTTATAATGGCATTTAGTATTCTGTTATTTGTTTTATAATAACTCTGGAAACTTATAAGATATTTAATGAGTTTTGGTCCTTATTTTTAAAGAACCAACAAGAAAACCTTGGGAAAGAACAAACACAATGAATGGCAGCAAGTCACCTGTTATCTCCAGGTACCAATTTTTTCTCTAAGTTTTGTATTTCACTTGTATCAAAAAAGATATTAATACTATTATAGAAAAAAATTGAAGATAGATTAGAAATTATACAAAGGAGCACATAAAATGCTGGTAATCCCACTCTATTAGATAACCACTGAGCCTCGTTATATTTTTACTAGTGATTGTCTGATAAATTCTACTTTACATTTATTAGCTAGATTATCTGAAATTTTAAGGTAGCTTAATCCCTCCCAATTTGTTTGACACATTCAAGACTACAGAAAAGCTGTTGAAAGAATTCCTATACACCCGTTACCTGTATTCACCAGTTGTCAGCACTTTGCCGCGTTTGTCTTATCTGCATGTCCACAGTTTTTTCCTCTGAATAGGTTGAAAGCAGTTCGCAAATAAGTGTTGCTTCACCCTAAATAATTCAGCATTTTTCCAAAGAACTAGAACATCTCCTACATAATTATATCACTCTCAAGAAATTTAACATTGAACAATAATATTATCTAATATAGTATATATTCACATTCCCCAATTAATCTCAATGACATCCTTCATAGATTTTTCTCTAAATATAATTTTTGGAAGAAACTTTTATGTTTTAAGCTGAAAATCATCTGGAGAGAAAAGACTGTGATTTTTAAGAGAAAGCAAAATAAAACCTAAAACTTCTAATTTGTAAAGAAAAATGCCGCTATCTCTGTTGAAACTTCTAAGCACAATCAAGTTAGCAAAGACAGTGCCCAGAAACGAGACTGGTGAACGCTTGTTTCTGTAAGTGGCATGTGGCACGGTCAAGAGAAGTTATTATTCCTTCAGCTAGCATACTTTATTATCGTGACTAGATTTATATTATATCACAGATCTTTAACATAGATGAAACTTTTTCTTGGTTCTATGAGACAGTTTAAAGGGCTCATTTTTCCCAGAAGAAAAAAGGTATGTATTTAGAGACTAAAGTTCTTAGTCTTTACTTTCTCAGCTATTTGCCTTATTTGTGCCTCATAAAAAGCAAACGTGTTGTTAATTGTAGAAACCTAGTTAAAGTACAAGGATAGAGTTCATATTATCACAAACCTATTCTGTGCTAGCCTAAATCTAAATTTGATTTTGGCTTTTGTGTGGTTCTTTCTGCTGGTAGGAAAAGAAGATTTGGTGATGACACAATTGTTTAAGCTCCACAAAAAACTGAACCTTTTTAAATGTATAAAAGTTTTAGTTTCTAAGTGACTAAAAGATGATCATATCTGAGTTTAGATGAAAGAAGGTAATTGCTGTTAGTGGACATTTTTTTAAGTAGAGTAGAAAAATTGCACATTTGTGACTCGGATACCTGAGGCGGCCTTCTAACACATCTCTACTAGTTGTTCTGGGTTTTTTTCAGTGGCGTATTATGAGGTTTGATTTCTCAAGTACATATCAAGGAGCAGAACTGTGATGTGCCATTTGTCCTTGAAAATGTAAATTGTGCCATTTCGCTCCTACTCTTCAGCCCTACTTCATGATAGACATTCCCTAGTGACCCTAAAGCTAAGCCTAAGTGACGGCAACAGTGATATCTTAGAAGAGACAAGGAAGAGGTTCTCCAGGTGTAATATGTTCCTTGTTGTGTTTGGTCTCTCGCTTAGTAAAAGAGAAAATATTCTTTGAAAGATTTTTTTTAGACTTCTAAAAGAAATTTAATAAATACTCAATAAAGGTCACCATTCTGAAAATAATTTTACATAGATTAGTTGAATCTTGGTTCTTATTATCCAGTAGTGCATTGTAATCATGTCCCAACTTTCTTTTAGGTAGCTTTCCTCACCTTTCCCAAAATAGAAATTCTGAAATACCTGATTATTTCCTGACCACTCATATATCTTTCGATAGATTCGCTCCAGCCGCTAATATGTATGTCTTAAAATTTCAGCAAAGGCAGTTTTAAACCATAAAAGATTTTTAAAATATGTTTAAAAGACTAAGAATGACATTGCTTTTCTTCCTAACTTACCTCCCCTGTTCCTTCCGAAAGCAAGTATTTTGGCTACTTGATGTTTTTATTGAAGTATACCTCATCCTTCCACTGTAGTGAAAGTACCTGTTTCTCTTCTGAATATCCATGTCAAAATTATGTTAGTGGTGAGATGGATTAAGATCTCATTATGTACATGAGATATTGCATCATGCTGTGTTTAAGTGAAGATGTAACATAGTAAAGTAAAAGCAGGAATGTTGTTAAAAATGCTTTAAACTATGACTAGAATGTAACATTGGAAAGTTTGTGAATTCTTCTGGTTTTTATTAAGATCTTACAGATCCTGTATTCAGGATGGGGGAAAAAAGTTCTTTACATGCCTCCTAAAGAGAGTTAATTTTGTATACTTGAAGCTACCATGATTTTTATTATGCTTTTTGAGTCTGTTGCTTGATATTCACTCTGATAGAAATGTCTTTGATTGTGTTTTGGTACTTTTTTTGAATCTTTGTGGTAGGTAGGTTTCACTGTGCCTACAGCCTATAAAGGTAGCCATTCTGGGATGATCTTTTTTTTTTTTTTTTCCTGTAATTATCAAATAAATAGTATCCTTACATAAATAAAATTAGTCTTAAAATATCTTGATTTTTATTGGGGAAAACGATTATTTTAAGGTTAATGGACTCCTTTAGTTCTTGTTTTGCTTGCCATAACTGAAAACCTATAAAACAGTAACATAATGAGAATTATTTTTGTAAGTTCTATTGTATATTCCTTTAAATGGTTTTTCCCCTTCATAGACGGGATTCTCCAAGGAAAAATCAGATTGTTTTTGACAACAGGTCCTATGATTCATTACACAGGTATCATCCTGCTGTGACTTTGTGATTTGAGACTTTTAAATAACATGTTCAGGATAGGGCTGAGCTTTTTCTACCTGGATTGGTAATCACCACAGAGATATTTAGGAAGATTGAGTCCTTCCTTTTTTACTTTATTTTGAATACTTTAAAGCAAATCTTGCCATGACTTTATAGTTGGATTAGGATAAATATAAATGGTGAACATACCAAAAATACTTGAATGGAAATCTGAGGCCACATATATTATCTCGGCCATTTGCAGCTTTAGCATTTTCTTTTAAAGGCAGTTCTCTTTATGATAATGAGACAAGGTTTTAAAAAGTGGAGTAGAAGATCCTGTACTGTTTGTTAGTGGAACACAGGGCAATATTATAGCCACAGTTGTGGATAATTCATTCTTTGAGGAAAATTTCTATTTCCTAGATATTTTGTAGTAAATTGAATCTTTAGCAACCTAAGACCTAACATCCTGAGCAAATTATTTCTTTTCTAGGATGAGCCCTATTATACTATTTTTTAATTAAGAAGACTTAAGATATGAACTACCTGTTTCTTTCTTAATTAAAAAAAATAGATAATTAGAAAAATCCTCAAATGCTTTTCAGCTATTTATAGAATTTGGCAGAATAGGGACTTAAATCTTATAGTACAGTTATTTTATAGGCAGATGTCTAAAGGCAACACTCTTATTATAAAGTAATAAAAACCTCTGAGAAACCCTCATACTTTGTTATCAATTATAGTGTAAACCCATAGGTTAGAAATAACTGAAATAGATCCATGTTACTGTGTACATCAAGCCTGCTGGGAACAAGAATTAATAGTATGCATAGGGGGTTTGTCTACCACAATGAGTAGGGAGTTCTATAATCAGACCCTTTGGCCAAATCATTTTTTTCAAAAATTATTTTCATGCCATCGATAATCAAAATATTTGATAGTTAATTTTGTCAGTCAGTTAAATCTTAATAAAATATTTATATTGCAATAGTGAAATACTTTTTCCTGCTTTTTTTGGGGGGGGTGTGGTTTAATTGTTCTGACCAAAAGACTTGTTTAGAAAATTTGCTAGTATGAAGAGAAAATAGCATTTAATGAAGAGATTTTTTTTGTAATAAATCTTCTCAGCTATCTTGCTCCTTTCACACATAGTGCTCCCTGGGATAATGTTGTTGATAAACATTTTCGTTGTTTAAAAAAAAAAAAAAAGTGGTGATTACTTCTTTCCTTCAGTATGAAAAGTTCCCCCCTTTAGTTAATTATCATGGTGGTGGTGGTGGTGATGGATTGCATGTTAGCATGAATTAAATTTTTTTAAAATTGCATGTTTCCACAATTGTTTATTAAATAATAATAATTTTTGCATTGTATAGTAAATAAGGATCTATTGATAACATCCAGCCCAGTTAAGTAGCAGACTATAGTTGTTTATATGAATTTCAGAGGTATTCATTATATAATTAGAAGAAAATAACTAGCTAATTGTCCCACTTAAATGTGAAAAGTAAAAGAAAAGCAGGATAATTAATAATTTAATTCTGGAGAACAGGAATAAATAGCATGAACAAGAAACACACAGTGTGCTTCAAGAGTAATTACTAGACCTGACTCTCCATTAGAACACCGTCTTGCATACTATGGTCTCAGTAAATCTGAAGTGACTGTGGAAGTAAGTAGTCTCCTCAGCAAAGACAGACCGTGTATCCTTATAAGAGCAAAGCATATATTGCATATAAATCTTCTTATCCCCTAATAAGCTCAGTGCTTACTGAATGAAATTTTTTGAAAGTTATTACTTTCCTTATTCATGTAAGCAGATACCTAATGAAGTAAAAATGGTTGACTTGATTCATAACAGTCTTCGAAGCAGTGATATGTTTTGATATTAAAGCAGATTAACTCAGTATTTCATCTTCATGAGAAATGCCTATGGATTTAAAGTTTTGTGTGTTTTATAAGAATTATGAAAGTATAACTTTGAAAAAGTTATTGTGCCTATTGTGTCTTGGTTCAATTTCTAACATTGGTCCTCTGCAAAATTGGAAACATATGATTTGCCTAATAGTTCTAAATTTCACTGATCTGTGGCCCTTAAAGAGTGGCCACTTACTATACTAAACCAGAAAATAGAGGAGTGCCAATTAAAATTCTAGGTTTTCCAATGGGGATTTTCTTTTATTGCCAGAATTAGAGAGGGAGCCATGACTGATTTATTTGATGTTGAAACTTAAACTTACTTAAAATATACCTAATCACTAGGTATATTTCTTCACATAAAATTTTAATAGAAACTGAACTTTTGAAAGTGTGATAATAACTGACAATCTGCTTCTGTCTGGCATTTCCTTTTTTTTTTTTTTTTTAACCAAAATAAATTTATGAATGTAGTTAACCTGAAACACCATTCAAATGACGTCTCCATAAAAACTTCATGGGGAAATAGCCACATGGTCTAACCTAATAATCATTTTTCCAACATTCTTGTTTATTTTGATGTTGAAATGGAATAAAATATATACAAAGAGATCATGTTTACTAAAATGTTTTCTTCTTTCAACGCAAGAAATAATAGACTTTGTAAACTGATTTGTGTTAGAGTAAAATATTCAAGTCTTTATATTTTTCCTTCCATTGGTTTGCCAGGTAATTTAGTAGATAATGTAAAATTTCAAAAGAAGAAGAAAACAACATTGCATTATTTGGGCCTCAGATGTTTCAGCTGACCTCTTCATCACTGTTTGGTCAACATGTCACATGTTACCTGGTTACCTGCCTCATGCCTAAAGAACGCTGTCTTCTACTCTGTTCTGAAGAAGTCTCACCATCTTGTCACCTTTCTATAGTTTCTTTAGAAATAACTGCAATGCTGAGAAAAATGAAAAATATTTTCTGCTTTATGTTCTAATCAGTCCTACAATTTTGACAACTAACTTTTAAACAAAATGTGTTTTATTTAAGAAATGTATTTAAATCTGGTGTTGGGGTGATACATTTGCCAGTTTTTGTGAACTCATTAAATATCAAAAATGTTGTTTACCTGTCCTGGTAATTTCATTTGTACAGACCAAAATCCACACCCTTATCACAGCCCAGTGCCAATGGAGTCCAGACAGAGGGACTCGACTATGACAGACTGAAACAGGTGCGTGCGCAGTGGCAACTCATATTAGTGCTCGTTTCTTTTTTTAAATGTCCCATATACATATATTTGACATGGATCCTGAATGTATTTTGAAAGAGTAGAGTTAAAATATTTTTATATAAGTTAAACAGTAGCATAGTACTGTATTTTTTTTTCAAATTCTCATTTCTGGTTCAGTGAATTCATATAAAGTTCCAACAGTGGTGGAGTGTGGGCCCGTGGCTCAGTGAGTGTGAGAGCATAAAGATTAAATATGAGTGCATGGTGTTCAGTTGTAAAGAAAACAGTAGGCTTCTACATTTTACTTACCGTATTGGCAAAATTGGACCCAACAAATCTGATTTTGGCAAGAATGTAAGGAGATGGATACTCTTGTATGTTTCTGCTTTCTAAGAAACAGTTTGGGAAAGCAAATCAAAAGCCTGAAAAATAAATGTCTTACCTTTGAACTCAGCGGTTTCACTTCCAGGAATTTATGCCAAGAAAATATTGTGTAGAAGTTTGCAAATATATGGTGAGGATTCTGTAACCATCAAGGGATCATAATTTAGAATATTTAATAATGAATTGTGAAGACTTGCTCATGTTAGGTGAAACAGGTAACAAAACCAATGTGTACAGTGATCTCAGTTTTATAAAAAAGAAAAAGATACTATTTGTATTTTAGATACATATGCATTATATTTAATATATATATATATATCTGCAGAAAAAAGTAATAGGTGGTAAGATTGTGAGTTTTAAAATATCTGTTCCCGGAAGAGATAAAATAATTTTTTTAGATAAACTTAACTTTTATTCTGCAGAGCTATTTGCAAAGTAGAGTTATGTAATTTAAAAAGGAAGCATGTGGTCATTAATAATCAAGCCCCTGTTTTGCTGTGTGTTGAATATGGCCCTCTTTTCTTGAAAAATGCTTGATAGTAGACCACCTTCACACACTTGAAAATATGGTAAATTCTTGATTATCTGAAGTAATGGAGTAGAAGAAAGGAATAGATTTGACTTTTGATATGATTTAAAGATGAAGTTGAATAAGGTTATCTGTTAGTCCCTACAATAACTTCTATAACTCACTACCTCAGTTCCCTCATTGGTAAGATGAAAGAATTAAGCTAATTGACAGCTTCCATTTTAAAACTTTCTAGTAGGCACATTTAAAAAGTACAAAGAAAAGGGCAAAATTTTAATATTTTACTTAACCTAATTTACTGAAAATATTTTAAATATGTAGTCAAGCTTTGAAAATGACTAATGAGTTCCTTTATGTTACTTTTATCATACGAAATCTTTGAAATCTGGCGGGTATTTTACACTTTACAGCACATCTCATTTTGGACTAGCCCTGTTTCAAGTGTGCACGGCAGCTGCCTATGGCTGGCGCCTGCTGCATTTGGCACCACCTTCATCTCTAACCTTTAGGTCAGCCACTGAGGTCCATCTGGGAAATCCTAGATTTTTTGAGATGTGGTTTGGCAGCTGGGTGATTCCTAAGAAATCCTCATACTCCAAATCAGATGACAGATTTGCCAAGAGCCAATTGTCCACTTTACTGTAACACCTTCCTCCTTGAAACTTCTTTTGCATCACCTCTCAGACTGCTGCCAGGGGACGAGATTAACAGCAGAGCCATTTTCTTTTCTAGAAACTATCTGAATCATACCTTTCACTGGATGACAGAATTTTTTTTTTTTTTTTTTTTTTTAGAGACAAAGTATTGCTCTATCACCTTTTTTTTTTTTTTTAACCAAAATAAATTTATGAATGTAGTTAACCTGAAACACCATTCAAATGACGTCTCCATAAAAACTTCATGGGGAAATAGCCACATGGTCTAACCTAATAATCATTTTTCCAACATTCTTGTTTATTTTGATGTTGAAATGGAATAAAATATATACAAAGAGATCATGTTTACTAAAATGTTTTCTTCTTTCAACGCAAGAAATAATAGACTTTGTAAACTGATTTGTGTTAGAGTAAAATATTCAAGTCTTTATATTTTTCCTTCCATTGGTTTGCCAGGTAATTTAGTAGATAATGTAAAATTTCAAAAGAAGAAGAAAACAACATTGCATTATTTGGGCCTCAGATGTTTCAGCTGACCTCTTCATCACTGTTTGGTCAACATGTCACATGTTACCTGGTTACCTGCCTCATGCCTAAAGAACGCTGTCTTCTACTCTGTTCTGAAGAAGTCTCACCATCTTGTCACCTTTCTATAGTTTCTTTAGAAATAACTGCAATGCTGAGAAAAATGAAAAATATTTTCTGCTTTATGTTCTAATCAGTCCTACAATTTTGACAACTAACTTTTAAACAAAATGTGTTTTATTTAAGAAATGTATTTAAATCTGGTGTTGGGGTGATACATTTGCCAGTTTTTGTGAACTCATTAAATATCAAAAATGTTGTTTACCTGTCCTGGTAATTTCATTTGTACAGACCAAAATCCACACCCTTATCACAGCCCAGTGCCAATGGAGTCCAGACAGAGGGACTCGACTATGACAGACTGAAACAGGTGCGTGCGCAGTGGCAACTCATATTAGTGCTCGTTTCTTTTTTTAAATGTCCCATATACATATATTTGACATGGATCCTGAATGTATTTTGAAAGAGTAGAGTTAAAATATTTTTATATAAGTTAAACAGTAGCATAGTACTGTATTTTTTTTTCAAATTCTCATTTCTGGTTCAGTGAATTCATATAAAGTTCCAACAGTGGTGGAGTGTGGGCCCGTGGCTCAGTGAGTGTGAGAGCATAAAGATTAAATATGAGTGCATGGTGTTCAGTTGTAAAGAAAACAGTAGGCTTCTACATTTTACTTACCGTATTGGCAAAATTGGACCCAACAAATCTGATTTTGGCAAGAATGTAAGGAGATGGATACTCTTGTATGTTTCTGCTTTCTAAGAAACAGTTTGGGAAAGCAAATCAAAAGCCTGAAAAATAAATGTCTTACCTTTGAACTCAGCGGTTTCACTTCCAGGAATTTATGCCAAGAAAATATTGTGTAGAAGTTTGCAAATATATGGTGAGGATTCTGTAACCATCAAGGGATCATAATTTAGAATATTTAATAATGAATTGTGAAGACTTGCTCATGTTAGGTGAAACAGGTAACAAAACCAATGTGTACAGTGATCTCAGTTTTATAAAAAAGAAAAAGATACTATTTGTATTTTAGATACATATGCATTATATTTAATATATATATATATATCTGCAGAAAAAAGTAATAGGTGGTAAGATTGTGAGTTTTAAAATATCTGTTCCTTAATTAAAAAAAATAGATAATTAGAAAAATCCTCAAATGCTTTTCAGCTATTTATAGAATTTGGCAGAATAGGGACTTAAATCTTATAGTACAGTTATTTTATAGGCAGATGTCTAAAGGCAACACTCTTATTATAAAGTAATAAAAACCTCTGAGAAACCCTCATACTTTGTTATCAATTATAGTGTAAACCCATAGGTTAGAAATAACTGAAATAGATCCATGTTACTGTGTACATCAAGCCTGCTGGGAACAAGAATTAATAGTATGCATAGGGGGTTTGTCTACCACAATGAGTAGGGAGTTCTATAATCAGACCCTTTGGCCAAATCATTTTTTTCAAAAATTATTTTCATGCCATCGATAATCAAAATATTTGATAGTTAATTTTGTCAGTCAGTTAAATCTTAATAAAATATTTATATTGCAATAGTGAAATACTTTTTCCTGCTTTTTTTGGGGGGGGTGTGGTTTAATTGTTCTGACCAAAAGACTTGTTTAGAAAATTTGCTAGTATGAAGAGAAAATAGCATTTAATGAAGAGATTTTTTTTGTAATAAATCTTCTCAGCTATCTTGCTCCTTTCACACATAGTGCTCCCTGGGATAATGTTGTTGATAAACATTTTCGTTGTTTAAAAAAAAAAAAAAAGTGGTGATTACTTCTTTCCTTCAGTATGAAAAGTTCCCCCCTTTAGTTAATTATCATGGTGGTGGTGGTGGTGATGGATTGCATGTTAGCATGAATTAAATTTTTTTAAAATTGCATGTTTCCACAATTGTTTATTAAATAATAATAATTTTTGCATTGTATAGTAAATAAGGATCTATTGATAACATCCAGCCCAGTTAAGTAGCAGACTATAGTTGTTTATATGAATTTCAGAGGTATTCATTATATAATTAGAAGAAAATAACTAGCTAATTGTCCCACTTAAATGTGAAAAGTAAAAGAAAAGCAGGATAATTAATAATTTAATTCTGGAGAACAGGAATAAATAGCATGAACAAGAAACACACAGTGTGCTTCAAGAGTAATTACTAGACCTGACTCTCCATTAGAACACCGTCTTGCATACTATGGTCTCAGTAAATCTGAAGTGACTGTGGAAGTAAGTAGTCTCCTCAGCAAAGACAGACCGTGTATCCTTATAAGAGCAAAGCATATATTGCATATAAATCTTCTTATCCCCTAATAAGCTCAGTGCTTACTGAATGAAATTTTTTGAAAGTTATTACTTTCCTTATTCATGTAAGCAGATACCTAATGAAGTAAAAATGGTTGACTTGATTCATAACAGTCTTCGAAGCAGTGATATGTTTTGATATTAAAGCAGATTAACTCAGTATTTCATCTTCATGAGAAATGCCTATGGATTTAAAGTTTTGTGTGTTTTATAAGAATTATGAAAGTATAACTTTGAAAAAGTTATTGTGCCTATTGTGTCTTGGTTCAATTTCTAACATTGGTCCTCTGCAAAATTGGAAACATATGATTTGCCTAATAGTTCTAAATTTCACTGATCTGTGGCCCTTAAAGAGTGGCCACTTACTATACTAAACCAGAAAATAGAGGAGTGCCAATTAAAATTCTAGGTTTTCCAATGGGGATTTTCTTTTATTGCCAGAATTAGAGAGGGAGCCATGACTGATTTATTTGATGTTGAAACTTAAACTTACTTAAAATATACCTAATCACTAGGTATATTTCTTCACATAAAATTTTAATAGAAACTGAACTTTTGAAAGTGTGATAATAACTGACAATCTGCTTCTGTCTGGCATTTCCTTTTTTTTTTTTTTTTTAACCAAAATAAATTTATGAATGTAGTTAACCTGAAACACCATTCAAATGACGTCTCCATAAAAACTTCATGGGGAAATAG